TTGTGAATAATGGCATGATCATGGATATAACCATCTCTGTGTATAGCTGAGGTGTAATGGAGAAGTAGGTCATAGGAACTGAGTAAATTGAGGAACTGGAAAGTTAGGGTATTTGAAGGAACATAAATATGTATGTTGAAGTCACCTATTATAAGAGCAAGAGTTGTGATAAAATGCTGTGATCTAGTCACTGAACTCATTGAGGAAGGAAGGAGAATGTTCTTGAGTGGGTCGGGGAGGTTGGAAGTGGAGTAGGATGGATAGATAATAGCTGCCAGGATGTTGATTGGATCATCCATTTAAATAGTGTAAACCTGAAAGGAAGAGAAGTTGCTGAGTGACAATGATATGGGGAACCTGGAAGTGATAAAGGGGGGCAAAGAGTATTCTCATTTTCCCAACATAGTCAATGTGAGGTAATGATGATACATGAGACAAAATGGAGTCACTAATGGAAAGGGTGATGAGGAAAGATGTATCATCAAGAGGGATCCAGGACTCAGTGAATAAGATGTTCCAATAAGTTCCAAAAATAGTTCCAATAAGATGCTGGAAGGAGTGAGAAAGCAAGAAGTTTAAGATAAAAGAAAGTTTGTTAATAACGGAGCAGGAGATCCAGAGGGCATAGGGCAGGGGTTGGGAAGATCTGAATTAGGGTATGAGGTTGAAGTGGGTGGTCTTAAGGGAAGAGATGGTTAGGGATGGACAATTGAATTTGTACATTAGCAGTCAGGATTTCAGGATCATTGGAATAAGGAGAGTATAAGAGAGTGGGAGCAAGCTAGCCATTAAAGAATGAGTCCAGGAAAAATGGTTCAAGAGCTATCCATTGAGGAAGGCAGATGTTTAGACTGTTCAAGATAGTGATATTGTGTTCTGTGAGGCCCTAGAAGGCCAGGCTTACAGCAGGTAAGACCTGGTGGAGTTATGGCCAGGAAAATCAAGAACTGAGCACAATAATCCATATTGTTCTGACAGGATAGAGTATATGGTGATATGATTTTCACCCTCTTTTTAAATACTATACCTGTTTTTAATACAGTTTTAAAATTGCATTAGATTTTTTGATTTATATTGAGCTCATAGATCATTAAAACATGAACTGAAAACCTTATTTCTCCTTATTCTTGCACTTGTGAAAATATTTTGTGCTAAAATTTGGTTTTAAATTATTCTCTATTAAATTTACTTTATTAGACTTACCTCTATGTTTTGATCCTTTGAAGCCTGATTTTGTTACCTATTGTTTTAGCTAGCTCTGAAAACACTGTGTAATTTGCAGATCAGAAATATCTATGCCTTTGTCCAAGTCATTAATAAAAATGTTAAGCAGCATAAAGCCAAGCATAGATCCATGGGGTACTCCACTGGAGACCTCTTTCCAAGTTGACTTCAAATATTAATGATAACTCTTTGGTCTAGCTGTTTAAGTAGTTCCAAGTCCACATAATTGCTCTATTGTTAAGCCTACATATTCTATTCTCTATAAAAAAATCAAAATTCATCAAATGCTTTTCTAAAATCTAGGTAAATTGTATCTGTAGTATTCTCCTAATCTATTAGTCTAGCAACCCTGTCCAAAAAATAAATGAGGTTAGTCTGGCATGACCTGATGTTCATTAAGCAATTCTGGCTCTTTGTGATTACTTCCTCTTCTCCTAGGTATCCACAAACTATCTTTTTAAGAATATGTCAAAGAATTTTGTCAGGAATCTAAATCAACCACACTAGCCTATAGCTTGCAAACTGCATTCTCTTCTCTTTTTTAAAGATGAGGACATTCACCCTTTTCTAAACCTATGCCTTAATCCCATTCTCTCTGATCTTTCTGTAATCATGGGAAACAATAACAGTCACCAAATCTTTTAGCATTTAGATGTTCATGTAGATCTGGTAACTTGAGCTCATTAAATGAAACTAGAAACTTTCTTACTATTTTCCTACTTATTTTGGGTATCAACTCTCTTTTAGCCATTTTATTTTTGTCTTTTCTTGTCCACAGATCATCCTCCTGCATGATCCTTTCCTCAACCCCTTCCCCAGAAACAAAACAAAACAAAAAAAAAGAGTTGAGTGGTTTGCCTTCTCTCTCTCTCTCTCTCTTTCTCCAATTTTTTTAAATAATCAGTTCTGCCAGCCCAAGCAGTCATCCTTTCTTTGATCTTACTTTCCTTCCCCCAATAAAACATCAAACAATTGTTTTCTTTAGTTTTCCCAGACTCAGTTTATTCTAAATATTAGTACTCCTAAGCTAGTCTTACACTACCATAACAGTACATACTTTTGCATTTATCTATTAGTTCCCTTTCTCCTATCTTTTGTACATGTCTTTTTTAGATGTAAACTGATTGGTGAATAAACTCCTTGTGCATACATAGCAGTGTTAAGACAACTCCCCTTTTTCTTCCACATCACAATCATCTCTTTTTATATTTTCAGAATGTCATTCTAGAGAATATCTCATCCCTCCTAGGCTGATTTCCCCTGGAGAATTACCATCTATGGGATCCTACCTGTCCTCTGTCTGAATCCTTTTAAATCTGTGCAGTGCAGGTGGTGCAGTGGATAGAGTGCTGGACCTGGAGTTGGGAAGACTTGAGTTCTAATTTGGCCTCATACACTTGTTAGTGGTATGACCCTGGGCATCACTTATTCTCCTTTCGACCCATTTTCCTCATTTGTAAAATGGGGTTAATAATAGCACTTACTACCTCACAGAATTGTTGTGAGGACCAAATGAGATATTTGTAAAGAGCTTAACACAATGCTTGGCACATATAAGTGTTACATAAATGTTAGCTATCATTATTATTATTAGGCTTCCTCTCAAACCATTTTGGGCTTTTCTCTCCTATATCAGAAATTCTAAAATGGTATAGCCTTTTCCCCACAATATTCTTATATTTTTTTCACCTTAGTAATCAATTGTTCCCTGTTGGAAAGAAAACTGTAGATCCAGAATAGAATTTCCCCTTGTTGATTCAAATACTTTTTGGATGAAATTATCATTCTAATTCAAGAAAGTATTAGGTGCTCTGCTTTTGGCAAAGAATACTAGCAAAAATCCAGATTATTGATATCCCTGATTATTTCTATTAGCTTCATTCTAAGTTTACTAATGAGGAAACTGAACCTAAGACCAGTGAACTGACTTGGCGAAGGCTGCGTAATTAGTGTCAGAGCTAGAACTTGTTCTAACCTCTCACCTCCAGGCCCAGCAATCTTTTCACGTCATCACGTTGCCTCTGGTTTTGCTGGGTTTTAGGTCAACTTGTTTTTTCTTGTGTTTCTTTTAAAGACTCATTTTCCCCTCCACTTTTTCTCTCCTTTGCAAGTTGATTTCACATTCAATCTTCTGCAGTCCTCCTTTGAAATGTCTTGCAAATGAGCTTTCATTTTAAACTGGTTTTGCCTTCGGTTGTGTGTCTCTTTAGTAAAGAGATCTAATGATTGCTGGCTCAGGCAGTTTCTTTATTCTTTTATTCTCGGACATGGTCACTGGTTTATATCAACTAAGCTTTTCTAACAAAAGTATGATCTTATCCTTAATCAAGTCACTAAACTTTCCCAGGCTAGTCTCCTCAGCTGCCAAATAAGGGGATTGGACAAGATGACCTTTAATTTTTTTTCCTTCAAAATTTAGGCTCATAAGGGGCAGCTAGGTGGTGCGGTGGATTTGAAGTAGGAGGACCTGTGCTTGGAGTTCAGTTCTGCTATTATCTTTGTGACCTCGGGCAAGTCCCTTCACTTTTCTGGGTTTCAATTTCATTGATTATAAAACGGGGAGGTTGGTGTCAATGACTTCTAAGCTGCCTTCTGGGAGACCTTGAGGTGAATGCAGTGGACAGATTGCTACAATGTTGTATCAATAGCATCAAATTGTTATTGGATATTACTATACTAACCTATTTTACTATAGCAGGAAGGTGAAAAAGCCCTGACCTAAATTCTTTTCCCCGTGAGTATCCAAAAATTACTCATTATTCATGAGTGCTATTTTCCTCATCATGTATCTTATATTATACTTATTTGTGTACATATTATGTACACCAACAGGATATAAGCTCCTTGAGGGCAGGAATTATTTTTTAATTTCTGTCTTTGTCTTCACAGTAGCTGGAACAGGGCCCTGCACACAGTAAGTTTTTAACAAATCATGGAATTTCAATGTTTGAAGGAACCTCAGTGGTCATCTAGACCAACCCATACCTGAAAAAAATCTCATCCACCATATACCTAACAAGCAGTTCGCCAGCTTTTCCTAAAGGCTTTCAGTGAGGAAGAAGCCATTATCTTTTGCTTTTGTGTAGATATAATTGCTAGAAAGGGTTTTTGTTTGTTTGCCACACTTCTGTCCATTTCTCCTAGTTCTTTCCTCTGGAACCAAGCAGGACAAGGAGAACACTTGAAAGCAGCTATTATTTCTCCCCTTTACTCTTCTTTGCTAGTCTTCTCATGCCTTCTTCCTTCAACCAGTCTATACCTGTCATAAACCTGCACCATCCTGGCTCTCTTCCTCTGGATATTCACCATCTTATCAAGATCTGTTCTAAGATGTAGGGGCTAGAACTAAACATGAAACTCCCAAAGAGGCCTTACTAGGAAAGGGTGTAATGAGACTATCTTTCCCCTTATTGCTGTTTACTAGACTTCTCCTACTGAAGCCTAGGATCTCATTCATTTTGTCACATCTTGCTGTTGACTCATAATGAGCTGGTGGCCCACTAACATCCACAGATTTTCTTTAGATAAATTGCCTAGCTGTGTGATCTTGTAATTTCAAAGTTGAATTTTTGAATCTAAGTGTAAGACTTTCCAATTCTTTTTAAAAATTTCGACCTTTCTTTGACCAAGTGTTTCAGTCCATCAAGATTTTACGAATCCTGACATATCCAGTAAGTAAGCTGTCCTTCCCAGCTTTGTGTTTGTTGTTTGTTATAGAAACAAATTATATCATGCATCAGGTTAAAACATCTGCAATAGTCTCAGTGTGTACATACCACTAGGTTTCCAATCACCATGACCATCATGAAGACAGTAAGACACATGGCTTGGCCTGCCACCTCCATACAGTCCCACATGGTTTCTATCCATTCTCCACACAGCACCCGGAACACAATCAGGAAGGAATGAAAGAAGTCATGCATGTGCCATCGTGGAAGTTCACAGTCAGGGGCAATCTTGCAGACACAGTCTTTGTAGCTTTTACCAAAAAGCTGCATGCCAACAACAGCAAAAATGAAAACAATAATGGCCAACACCAATGTCAGGTTTCCCAGAGCTCCAACTGAGTTGCCAATGATCTTTATCAGCATATTTAGTGTTGGCCAAGATTTTGCCAACTTGAAAACTCGGAGCTGGAAAACAAAAGATGATAATTACTATGCATTGTTTTAAAGCTATGCAACTGTGATTTGCATCTGAGTGTACTAAGAATTTATCCCAATGTTCTATTTTTTTTTCTGGTAGAAGTATGGGAATAGTTCTTTTGCCCTCCTTTCTCCCTTTGGTCTAACATTCTGGATAGATGATACGTATGGAGTTTGAACTGAATCTATGTGCCATGGATTTTATTATTCTTTTTAGGAGTGTGGTGTTCTAACTTCTGTGTGGAGGCTCTACTCTTCTAGCTGGCTTAGATAGGGGGGAGAGTGATATCTAATATGACACTTCTCTTCCCCCTCCCCCATCATGGTTTTTTTCACAATTCTCATATTTATTAATGATGTTTAGAGGCCTCTGGGCCCCTACTCTATGCCAGATGTTTTTCCCAAAACCACGTGATCTAGGATCATAAGACCATGGTTAATGTAAATATGAAGAAACTCCGTAGTTCTTTCCATTATTGAGAAAGGATTGATGTATGAACTTGCAAAAATGTAATAACTTTAAAAGTTTTTCTGCTTGGATTGGATAAGAGCAAACATACTGCTTTACATTTCTGTAATAGCTGCTGTAAGATATGCATTGGCAAACCCACTTTGCATAAGATTGCCATCCTTTCTTACAAAGGTCTTAATATTTTTAAAGCTAGTAATAGAAGGTGATATTTTAATTCACATTTCCCCCTTCAGATTTGAAAGCAAAAGATAAATAACTCCTAAAGCAGTATTTAGTCAGACATAATGGCAACTGGCTAATGTACTAGGCTATACAAATGACTGCCCTCTTTGGAGAAGAGCCACTGTAGAAAACTAATGGAAAAGCGTTTACCAGTCGGAAAGAACGGAGGACGGATAATCCTTCCACATTGGCCAGTCCAAGTTCTACTAAGCTAAGGGTCACAATAAAACCATCAAAGATATTCCAGCCCTCTTGAAAATAATAATAGGGGTCCATGGCAATTATCTTCAGAAACATTTCTCCTGTGAAGATTCCAGTAAAGACCTATGACCAGAAACAAAATTAATGTGCTATCAAACAACGTTGCTACATAAGGATATCACAAGTGTTCTTGCCCTGTGACGTTTGAGTTATTTCTTTTCTCCAGACTTCAAGCAATACACTCACTGATGGAACATATCAACAATTTCATCACCATCTGTAGTATCTTCCTTATTCAAGTATGTAGTTTAATTGTCATTCCAGTTTTATATTCCTAGAGGGTGTGTGTGTGTATGTGTGTATATGTATAATATATATATGTATATATATAATTGCATATCAACATACAACTAAAAAAATCATGACTTTTCTTATAAAAAACATAAAATCATATGACTCTTTAAGGGGCCTTTTATGGTTATCCCCCCTAGTTGTTAGTGCCCTTTTTAAAATAACTTGGTATTTATTCAATCTGTTGATAACAAGTCATATCAATAGCCATCCCTGTCTCTGTATCTCTTTATGTATCTAGCATATAATTATCAGTGAAAATATAAACCCCTCCCCCCACTCTCTTGCAGGACTACTTAATAAGTTCCTTGACAAGAACATGAAATATCTCACTTTTGAATTTGTATCCCCAGCACCTAATCCAGTTCCTGGATTAACAACAAATACTTGCTGATTTATTGACTGAGTTGTTTAAAAACAAGAAAGAAAGAAAAAAAACACGTACACAAACAAGGTTAAATGAAGACCATTAAATAGAAAGCTTCCTTCCTACCCTAAATCTCTCAAACCCTAAAGTAAACTACAAGGAAAAATGCAAAAATTGCTTTAGAGGATCATCTGTTTCCTTAAACAAATGATAGTATAATATTCCAAAGCTATCCAGATTCAACTGACAAACACCTAAATAATTTATTTTTTCTGAAACATAAAATGGGAAAAAAAAAAACTAAGTGGTAACCTTTGCCAAAAATGGGACTGCTAAATATCTAATACACAATGTACTGTAGGTTATCAATATTTCATGGCTATAATATAAAAGGATAAAACAACACAAGTACTGAGCCCCTTTAAGAAGAAAAGCCTAAGACAATTTATGTACTGTGAAAGTATACTTGATTAACCCTAGGGCCCTACCATACAACAATACTTAATTGTGTTAAAAAAAGATGGGGGGGGGGGTTTGAGGAAGAGACTATGATTTATGTTTTCTGCAGCAATGCAAACTATATGAGCAAAGTTCAAAAGAATTCAATTGAACCATAAATACCAGATATCCATTGAAGATTATAAGAATGAAAAGAGGGCTATAGAACCTTCAGATCTGATAAGAACTACATCAGTGCTATGGAAACATTATTTTGCTATTAGATTGTAGGCCTGACCTTGTATATATTAATAGTTTCATTTCTCAGTTTTACCTTTGGCTTCAAGGGCTATCCCAAGCAGATACTATCCATTAGGCATTTAAAAGAGCTTGTCAATTAACTATCCCTATATCAGAGCACTCACAAGGTTATTTTGGATTAAAATACTGAACATTAAATAAAGAAGACCATTCCCAGCTGATCTCCATCAAGAAAGTTGAGAATGAAATACTACTACTACTACTACTACTACTACTACTACTGCTGCTGCTACTACTACTACTACTACTACTACTACAATAACTGATACATATTTAACTCTTTAAAGTTTTCAAAGTGCTATGATGATGATGCCTAGTATTTATTTAGCTCTTTAAGGTACGCAAAGTAATCTTGTTTGATCTTCACAATATTCTTGTGAGTTAAGAGCTTCAACACGTGATCTCATTTGAACGTGATGAGACAGATGATTGTTCAAGATTAATGTGTTTATTCTTGTAAAACATTATTTTCTTTTTTAATTTTTGGGTTCTGAAAGCCTACATATCCACAGCGCCTTGCTATGAGCTTCTGAAGGAAAATGATTACTGAAACAATACTCTTAAGGAAAGAAAACTTTTACCTTTCAATATGCTTACCAAGTTTCCTACTGAAAGCACATTATTGAAATGAGGAGTCATTGGATAATGTTCCATGGCCATGAACAGAGTATTTAAAACAATGCAGATAGTAATTGCCAGGTCAACAAATGGATCCATCACAATTAGATTGACAATGTGTTTCACTTTCAACCAGTGTGGGGAACAGTCCCAGATTAAGAAAATGTTGGAAAATTTATACCAGCAGGGTGGGCACTTCTGTCTGGATTCTTCAAGTTCTGGAGACAAAAAAACAAAACAACAATAAAAATACAATTGAGATTTTCTCTTTACTAACTGATACATTTCTCTTTACTAACCGATTGGCCATGAAAAAAGAAGCTGCCTTCTTATTCTATTTCTCCATTAGGATTTGAATCAGGTATAACAGAAGTTACTATGTGCTTGGAATTCCATGAATTTTAGATAATTTTATATAGACATACACTCTATGCATTAGAGAGAAGAGTTACTTCTCATACAGTGATCCTATCACTACACATGGTCTTAACATCTGTATTTCTATACCTGAAATACCCAAAGTATGACTAATGGACAGAGGGATACAATTTTCTGGACTGTTCTTCCTAGCATTCTTGTAACTCTGGGGTGCTAGACAGAGAAGGAATTGTAAAGAAATATAAACCGAAGATCCCTCAAATTTTACTTTTTCAAAGTCTTAAATCTTAAGAGAGGTTGAGAAGAGGTCTTCCAGGATGGCATGACAGAAAAACTTAATATAATACGTATGTAAAAAACAAGTTTTATACTGCATACTTTTATACTGCATGAATTAGAATTGATCAAAAATCTTAAATATTCAAAAATTAAAAGACAGAAGAAAATGGAATTCAATTATCCCATTGTGGAGAGGAGATGACTTTCACTATTCATTATATATATAGGAGGAATTACTAGGAACAAGATTTATGTTCATGACTGAAATTTTAAAAAAGTCTACACATAAAATCTTTATAATTTAAAGAAAAATAAAAACAGATTAGGAAAAGCTCTGTGGCAAATGTCACATTTAAAATTATCATTTAAATATATAAAAAGTATTTAAAATATGCATAGCCAAAATCCAGTCTACAATGGACAAAACATCAAAGGATATGAACATTTGCAAAAGATAAAACAAAATTTGTTAATAATCACTTGAAAAAATGCTTAACTTCATAATAATCAATGAGGAACATAGTACCTCACACACAAGTATTCAGGAAAAAAAAACTTTAAAAGGTTGTGAGAAGACAGATACACTTTTTATAGGTGATAGAATTGCAAAGTTGTAGAAGTTTTTTTTAGAGAGTAATTTCAGAGTATGCAGTAAATGTTACAAGTATATTCATATCCTTTAACTCAATCAACAAGCAAATGCACCTACTATGTGCTAGACATTGTGCTGTTTCAGATATGGAGAATAAAAACCAAACAGTTTCTGCCCTTAGTGAATTTATATTCTCTTCAGGGGAAACAACTCATACATAGACAAAGTACATGCACAGTAAATGAAAAACCATGGTGGGAGGTATTCATAGCTGTGTCAATCAGGAAAAGTTTCAAGTAGGTAGAATTTGAACAGAACTTTGAAGAGAGTTAGGGATCCAGAGAGAAAAAGGTTAGGAAGGAATGCATTCTAGGAACGGAGGACCTTATAGAGATAGCCTTATAGAGGCATAGAGACAAAAGATGGAAAGTTATGCTTAGTGATCAATAAGTAAGCAAGCCCTAGAATTTAGACTCGATATAGGGAAATTATGAGAAATGAGCCAGGACATACAGACTAGAATGAAATTGTAAAGAGCTTTAAATGACAAATAGTGGTTTGTATTTTATTGTACATGCAATAGGGAGCCACTGGAGCTTTTTTAATTTGGAAGAGATATAGTCAGACCTGTCCTTTAAGAATATCACACCTGCTAGCTGTGTGATCCTGGGCAAGTCACTTAACCCCAATTGCCTAAAAAAAAATAAAAAAAATAAAAAAAAAAAGAATATCACACCTGCAGCTATCTTGAGCATGGTTTCAAGAAGGGAGAAATTGGAGGCAGGAAGATCAATTAGAAGGCTACTGGAATAGCAGAGGTGAGAGGTGATAATCCCATGGTTGGAAGTATACAATAAAAGTGTTATTAAACATAAAAACATCCAGAGTTTGATCTGTTCAAAGATTTTCATAGCAGCATTATTTGTGACTGTAAGCAATTAGAAGCAACATAAATGTCCAACAAATGGAGAACTGTTAATCAAGTTCCATCACTAATGTGATAGAATATAATAATGTGACTAAGACTGATAAGAATAAGTTATACACGGAAATCCAGAGAGATTTGTGAAACCATAGAAAGAGAAAAAAAGCAGAACCAGAAGAGAGTATACACTGTGATCATATTATTAGGAAAAATGAAAGAGAGAAAAAAAGAAATCTGATGGAGTCTTCAAGGAAGTGACTGAAAGGTTTTGATATTGTTTTAAGGTGAAATTAATGGAAAGGTGAATAGTTTTATAGCAAGATTAAAAATTATATTGGTGTTCAATGTTAACTTTATAATAACTTGCTCCTCTTTCTGATTTCACCATCTATTCACAATGTTTCCCTAAATTGTGTGTGTGTTCTCATGTCACTCAACTACTCAAGAATTTTCCTGATGACTGACTACTGAATAACATCTGAACTCCTTTGACTGGCATATAAAGGCACTGGGGGCCGGCTTTTATCTTCAGCCTCATCTTAGATTCTTCTGTCACCTTCCCATATATTTTATGCTCCAGTCAAACTGTATTACTTGCATTTCTAAAACATACTTCATGCTTTTCTGACCCCTTACTTTTGCTCATACTTTTCTCCATCCAAAATAACTTACTTTAACTCTACCTCTCTTTCCTTGAAAAGAAGGCAGCTAAGTGGTATGGTAAAGTGCTGGGCCGAGATTCAGGAAGACTCATCTTCCTGAATTCAAATCTGGCCTCAGATACTTCCTAATTGTGTGACCGTGGACAACTCACGCAACTGTTTGCCTCAGTTTCCTCATCTGTAAAATGAGCTGGAGAAGGAAATGACAAACCACTCCAGTATATTTGCCAAGAAAATCCCAAATGGGGCCAGGAAGAGCTGGACATAACTGAACAACAATAACTCTTTCTGAAGAGCGAAATCTGCTCAATTTTTCAAGACGCACCCTAGTTGCCAACTACTATCCTGATCTTTTAAATTGAAAATAATTTCTTTCCGCAGAATTCTCATAGTGTTTTGCTTGTCCTTTATCATGTTCTATTTGATATCATAGTTATTTGTGTTCTGCTATATCTCTTCTACTATACATGCTTAAAGAAGTGACCATGTATTATTTAATCTTTGAATGTATCTCAGTATCTAGCACAATGTAGACATTTAGTAAATGTTTGCTGAATAAATGAAAGAATATACAAATGACATAAATGGAAATGAAACTTTTTACAAACCTTCTACAGTATTGGTTAATATACTGGCTATACTCATTGCTCTTTGCCTTTGGGTAGGATCTTCTAGAAAATCCATGGAAACGTGGAAAGAACTTGACCTTCTCTTTTTAAGTTCTGTTTCAGTAGTTGTACCCTGTAAGGAAAATGATAATATTTTAAATGACCATCTTGAGCAAAGTAATAATCCAGTAACCGAATTGTGAAGCAACAGGTTTCATGGAGCACATGCACCATGCACCTTCATATCTGATCACTTTGTGTCTCTAGATTTTTTATTGTGTCATTAACTTGGAATGTCTAAATTGTTCTTTGGTTTTATAGTGATAGCAGGTGACAATACGTTTTTGAGCCTATGAAGTATAGTATGATATGGTGTATGATAAAATTTATAAAAATACAGAAAAGTATCTAAGTCATTGAACCAAATTTTTTTTGATAATCAAATTTAAAAGCATTTCTAAGTAAATAGGAAAAAAGATGTCCATAACTCAAAGGCCATATCCAATATTTCTCACATATGATTGGTTTGGGACATCAGTTTTTGACAGGGCTCCTTCTTCCTTCCATCCCTCCCTGCTGCTCTCCATTCCTTCTTTTCTTCCTTACCTTCCTTGCTCTTTACATCCTTTCTTTTTTCCCTCCCTGACTCTTTCCTTCTTTGCTTTCTTTTTTTCTGTCCATCCCTCCCTTTTCTTTCCTTCTTTCCTTCCTCCCTCCTTCCTTCTTCCTTCCTTCCCTTCTTCCTTTTTCTTCTCTATCTCTTTTCTATCCCTCTGACCCTTTTTTCTTTCTTCCTTTCTCAAATACAAATGATAAAAACATGATGGATTGATAATTCTAATTTTTTTGTACATAGGAGTGGATGGTTGTTACCAAATACTAATTAGCATAAGGGAAGGGGGTGAGGGGATGAGGAGCCAAACCAATGCCATGCTTAACAGTTTCATCCAAAATGGCAAAGCGATAAGTAATCTAAGCCTGACTTAGTCATGCTTCAACATGCTGATATAATTACAAGTAAGTGGGCACCCTGGAAAGAGACAAAATCATTTTTAGTACTATCCTATATGCATATGCATATAAGACATACAATATACATATAGATCAGGCATATTTTCATATCATTCTGCAGAAATATGTTCTTTGGTTTCCAAGGCCCTCTCCATTTTGTTTGATTTTTCTTTCTGAAGTGACCCATATCAGCAGTTTTCATAAGGAGAATGAATGAGTACTAGAAATTGTTATCAATGTAAGAATGAAGCTATCCATAATTAAGCACAGTGTTCTCTAAAAATCTTGTGAAATGAAACAGATTCTTAAAGACCAAATTCAGTTGGTAAGATTTATTATATACCCTTCATATTTGTGTATCAAATTATTTGTTCTCTTCTATGATGGGGCCACACAGAATTTTTAAAGATCTAAGTTCCAGCATGGGTATATAACAAACATTCTCATTTGAGCGTATTAATGTATTTTAATGCTTCATTTGTCATAAGCATGTTTGTAAGGAAAGGAATTCATAGTTGCTATATTGGGGAGTAAAGCTTGAGGTTTTTACTTTTAGTTGGTCAGTCAATTAAAGGTATTACAAGATGCATTTGCATTCACAGCTTGACCAACCAGGGATCATTCTCAAGGGATTCCATTCTGTAGAAACACTGGCTGGTGCAGAAGGAATGGGCCAGCCATGCCTAAACTATTTAAAACTTCCTTACATTGTCATCAGTAGCTGGCTTATCTATTATCACCTCTGGCAGAAGCTGTCCAACAGGCGATGTAGGAGCTGACGGTCCACCAACCAAGGAAACCACACCATTGCAATCTACAGTGCTGTGCATCTTCCCATTCACTGGAAACACCGCCAGCATCCGGGATGATCTACTGGCCTGACTTATGTTACTGTTGCGCCGTTCTCCATGGCGGCGAGGTACAAAGAGGGAATCTCTCCTGCTCTCATTGTCCTCAAATGTGCTGTGTTCATCATCAGCAAAGTCATTCTCAGATCCCACATCCTTTGCTCGCCCTCTAAAGCTGAAAAGACTTGTTCTGCTGTTGCGCCTTGGAGAAAACAGGGAGCCACGAATGCTCAACAAGGACTAAAAAATTGACACAAGAGATGAGAATTATCATATATAGCACCTTTTAATGTACTTCTTGATATTTAAAAAAAAGAAGTTGATTTGAAGGAAATGTCAGGTTCAGAGAAAAATTGCAGCTATTCCTTACATACAGATCTCATCTATTCATCATGTTTTCATTTATAATTGCAAATTACACATGTGTTTATGTGGGTAGGAAGATCCTGGGGCCTGGATTAGGGAATGGAGAGTTAGATTACATCATGCTCAATTTGAGTGAAAAAAGATACCTGAACCATTGTATTCTCCAAATTCAAGCAGAAAAAAAAAATGTATAACCTTTTAGATGGTAGCTAGGCAGCCAATTAACACTTGTTAAGTGACTATTCTCTCCTTTTATATTCCTCCCAAGTCAAATATGCTTTTAATGATCCCCCCTTTCCCTAAGAATTTCAAGCACTTCTCATTTTAGTTCATCATCATCATCACTACTAAAATTCACAAAGCCCTTTAAAGTTTTCAAAGTGCTTTATATTTATTTTACTTTATTTTATCCTCATAACAATCACAGGAGATAGGGGCTATTATCCTCATTTGGTAGATGAGGAAACTAAGGCAGATAGTTTAAGTGACTTGCCCAAGGTTACATAGCACATAAATGTCTGAGGCAGGATTCCAACTTAGGTGTTCCTGACTCCAGGTCAACATTCCTCCCATTGAGCTACCTGGATGTCTCAAATGTCACTTGGAAGTAAGTATAAATGAATTATTACCTTCTTCACATTACCTTTTGGATAAAAAGTTGTTATATGACATGATCAAGGTTTTAAACAAGTTAGTAATAATAAAAATGATAATAACTAAAATATGACATTTAGATAAAGCTTTATACAAAAATAAGCATTTTTATTCAATAACTATTGATTAATGTCTTACTAAATGAGACAATATTTTATTTATATTATTTCATTTATTTTTTATAACCAATCAGTGAAGTGGGTAGCCTAAGTGTTATTATTCCAATATCCAGGAGAAGAAATTGGCTTGGAGAGATTATGGTTACACAGTAGAGCAAGGACTAGAACCCAGATCTTCTGACTCAAAGTACGGGATCCTTTCTAGTAAGCCATGTCATATTCAATACATGACCTAAATAAAAATCTTTTCTAAATGAAAAGATAGATTTAAGGAAATAATACAAATCTTACTTCATAGGACTAAAGTTAATGAGGCCACTTTAAAGTCTGATTCACTTTCTGGTTATTATGTAAGATATTCCGCACATATACTTTACATATCACTTTAATGAAGACATTGCCATACCTGGTGTGGGGAGGAGTACCTCTTTTCATAGGTCAATCGGTTCCCTTCAATAGAGAATCGGAAGCCTTTCCTCCTAATGCTCTCTTCAGATTCAGATTTGTGGAATTCATCTTCCTCTTTTTCTTCTCCACCTGATTGCTCTTTCTGTTTTCTTTTCTTTCTCCGGTTCCTTCTTTCCTTTGCACTCTTTGAACTCAGCTTTGAGGCTTCTGAAGAGCTCTCTGAGAGTCCACCTGCAGCACTAGGTTCTCTGGAATGCTCAGAGGCAGTGGCTGCTGCTGCTGCCTGCCACATTAAATGAATACATGAATTAAACAGTACTTATTAAACACTTACAATGTGCTAAGCACTATGCTAAATGTTGGGATACAAAGAAAAAAAAATCCTTGCTCTCAAGGAGCTCATATTTTAATTTGGGGAACCAAAAAACAACAGAAAGTTCAACTATGGAATGGGAAAAAAAAAAGCCTGGAAATTCTAAGGGTTCAGGAGAGTGGCGGATGGCAAAGCCTAGAAGTCCTTAACTTATATCAGTAAGTCATAGGGCAGTTCTGGGGGTCCACATTGCTGGGCATAGATGCAGGACTGATGGTAAGACCTGCTAGAATCCTATCTTACTAGAAGCATATTACATTAAATATTTCCTCAGTTATTTCACATGTATATATTTGTTCTTTTTTTGAAATGACTCAAGCAATTTTTTTTAATTAAACAGTGCTAATTGAAGTCTGTATAAGGTTGTGGTAGCTTTGTAAGTATAAGAGAAAATGAACTTTTTACTTCCCACTTAATGAAGGATTTCAAGGCTAATGTAATTTTTCCTGTGTCAACTTTTATTATGTCTGTATTTGATTAGAAAAATATTATTCGACTCACGTGTACAAAAATATTTATAGCAACTCTTTTTGTGGTGGACAAGAACTGGAAACTGAGGGGATGCCCATCAATTGGGGAATGGCTGAACAAGTTATGGAATAAAAATGTAATGGAATACTATTGTGCTATAAGAAATGGTGAGCAGGCAGACTTCATATAAACCTAGAAAGGCATATATGAACTGATGCTGAGTGAAATGAGCCGAACCAGGAGAATATTGTACACAGTAACAGCCACACTGTGTGATGACTGACTTTGATAGACTTAGCTCTTCTCAGCAATGCAAGGATTTAAGACAGCTCCAAAAGACTCATGATGGAAAAAGTTCCTAAGAAAGAAATATGGAATCTGAATGCAGATGGAAGCATACTATTTGCTCTCCTTTTCCTTTGTTGTTTTTTTTATTCTCTTTTTCACGGTTATTTCCATTGGTTCTAATTCTTCTTTACATCATGACTAATGTAAAAATATGCTTAATATGAATGTATTAGTAGAGCCTATATCAGATTGTATGCCATCTTGGGGAGGAGGGAGAAGAAGGAGTGGGAAAAAATTTAAAACTCAAAATCTTATGGAAGTGAATGTTGAAAACTAAAAATTAATAAATAAATTGCTTAATTAAAAAAAGAAAAATATTGTTCAAAGAGAATCAATCGGGCATCAGCAAGAACATGAACACATATTACTTATTACTTAAATTGATATTTAATTAGCATCTATTTCTTGGTCCTCAAAAGGACAATAAATTGTAGAATGATGTATGATTAAATTTTCCCACTAAATGTAATGGAAGGATGGAAAAAGTAGAATGAAGTTCTTCTCTCAATTGGCCAGACCACTATTGGTCACTGGCTATACATGATAATACGTATAAGTTGTGGTGTCCCAGCAAGATTCACTGTAAATTTCCCAAACTATTATATTCTACCTATTGGCAGAAGGTTAGGGAAGAATAGGAAGTACTGATTCTGTTCTTAGCTGACAGAAGATTTTCATTGGCTCTTACAGTATTCCACCTAAAATACAGTCACAGTACTTAATCTATTCAGCTCACTAGCAATGACATGATTGGTTACACAGTTTGACACAGTTAACTAATCAGCAAGTCATTTAACATGGATTTATTAAGTAATAGTATGTGCCAGGCACTGTAGTAGGCACTGAGGATAGAAGAAAATCCAAAACCCATCCCTCCTCTCAAGAAGCTCACAGTCTAATGGGAGACACCGTATGTAAGTAACTAGGCATATATAAGATATATACAGAATAGATGGAATGTAACCTTAGATCAGAAGGCATTAGCCACTGAGTGGAATTTGAGTTGAATCTTGAAGGAAGCCAGAGAGACCAAGAGGCCAAGATGAGGAGGGAGACCATGACAGTCATATCCAAAGGTACAGTGATGGAAAATATTAATTCTTATCAAAATCCTTTTGGATACCTGTGTAATTGGCAGTACTATTACATTATCTATTCCTTGCTTATGTAAATAAGGCAGGAGTTTGGTGAATTGAATTCAAACCCAGAAGACTTTCAGTTGAAAAGGAATATACAAACCTTCAGGAACTGGGGAAATATCTTCCTTTATCACTCCCAGTGAAGTTCTATCTCAAATAAAAGGTGATTTTATTTTGGATTTTATTCTAATGGCAGCATGCAGGGAGCATGATTTTTTTTTCCTATCATGTAAAATGAATGCAAAAATACTGTTTTAAACTTTCTTCCTTCACTCTTTTCTTCTCAGAATCTCAAGGTGATTTACACTTATAATTTCCTTCATATTTCTGACATTCTTTTGAGAAAGTTTTTTTTTAATATTCCAAACCTATTTTTGATAGTTGAAGAATTAGAACAATAAAGCAAAATCACCAAAGCAAATCCAGATGGAGATGTCACAGAATTTAGAGAAACCTTAGAGAACAAATTTTTCAAACCCTTCATTAGGAAACTGAGGCCTTAGGATGTGATGTGACTTACCTCAAAAAATGACATAGTACTTGCCAGCAAAGCTGGGATTTGGACCAAGTCATCTAACACTAGGACACTGAGACATAGAGCCTTGATATGATTTACCTCAAAATCACACAGACAGAAGCTAACAAGGTTGTCTATATAAATAACTGGGTTAAACAATGTTGTCGTCTAAAAGTTCTGGATCTAGACTTTCCCATTGCCCCAAATTTAGTTCCCCCAAATTACTACCTTTTCTTCTCAGATACAACCAACTTGCTCCTTTGGGAGAGGTGTGGAGGATGTGGTATTAAAGCAGAAGAAGGAGAAGAAGGATGAAGTCAGACTCATGGGATATTTCCTGTAGAGAATTTACCTGAGCCGCTTCCTGTTGCTTCTTAAGCTGTTCCAGCATCTGCTGAAACTCAGCCTCCTTCTGCTCTGCCTCTTCCAAGGTGGCCTGATTCTGCTCCTCATAGGCCATGGCAACCACAGCCAGGATCAAATTGATAAGGTAGAAAGAGCCCAAGAAAATCACCAGGACAAAAAATATCATGTAGGTCTTGCCAGCTGCACGAAGAGTCTGAGAAAAGAAGCGGGGAGGGGGAGAGTTGGTTTACTGTCCATCTTCCTTCAAATGGTTTGATCCCATTACTACATTTTTAATCATTGGAAGTCATTGATTTAACCCAGATCTCACCAGCTGATAAAGGTTTTCCCAGAAGTCCTGAGTCATCAGGCGAAACAGGGACAAGAAAGCCCAGCTGAAGGTGTCAAAGCTTGTGTAACCATAATTAGGATTTCGGCCAGTTTTCACACACATATATCCTTCTGGACACTGGCTACAAATGGAAGAGGGAAGGAAGCATTAGTGGGGACTCTGCTACCTCTCCATGTTGATAAAGCACTGTGCCAACAGTTTGGCCAGAAATATGCATGCATTACTGAAAATAATCCTAGATAGCTGAGAAGCCAATTACTACGGCAAAACATTACATTATACAGGGTGTTCAAAAAATCACGGTGCCCTTTTAAATAAAAGGGAAAATTTAGAGTGGCCCTAAGACTTTTGGGACACTCTGTATTGCTATCATATTTCAATACTCTCAATTTATCACATGGTGTCTAGAAATGCAAACCGTGGAATACAAAGCTCATTTTCTTTAACCATTTTTCATCAAAAAAAAGTATTTTAACCATTTGTACTCTTGCTCCACTGATGTCTGATTACAGCTATCATAATATCTTGAGTTTAAAAGAAAAGTTCACCTGCTATTACAGATAACAGTAATGTTTCTTGGTTAGCTAATAATTCTTATCTACCCATATGAAGAACACCTTGTTTAAAAAGATCCAACTAACCAAATAAAGTTCAAAATCAGGTATCACTTAAATATTGAACTCCAAAAAAGTTTTTTCCATGAGACAAATAAGGAACATGTGAAAAATCTTTATAGTTAGTATACCATATTTCTCTGCTTCTATAAAAAGAAAAAAACATTTAAACCATAAGCTTAAAACTGCACTAAGACTTTTGTTATACCCTGTATAATATTGGCTTACCCGGCATCTGAGCTGTTACCACAGAGGAGTGCATCCATATATCCTTCCAGAAAATAAAAATACTCTGTTTTGAAAGATTCAAAGAAAGGAAAACTTAAATGAAGAAAGTTTACATAGCTACAAAATGACTAAAAGGAAAATAGAAGTATCAAAGTTAGTTACTAAGATTATGTGAAAATTGTCTAGTTATAAAGATAGGGAATGGACCTGTGATTTATTTTTTCTGGTGTGGGGGACTTCTGGATGAGAAAACTCCTTTTGCTAATGCAGGTGAACACTTTCTCTGCAAATTAAAGTGCTGCCTAGAGCCATGATGTTGAACTCATAGAAACAGATCTCTGTGGCCTTATATTGACTTAGAAAATGACAAATTAGCATTGTCTATATTGTGCTGTATTTTCATTTATTTTGTTAAATATTTCCCAGTTATACTTTAATTGTGTTCAGACCACACTCCATTCCACTGCAGGGTGTTTGACAGCTCTGGCCTGGAGCACCGAGAGGCTGGTGACTGGCCCAGAGATAAACAGCCAGTCCGTGTGAGAGGTAGGACCTGAAGTCATACCTTCCTGTCTCTAAGAGCAATCCCTTACTACACAGTACTGATTCGCAAATCATACTGTGCATGTAAGTGAAACTTCCTTTCCTCCTCCATCAAATGTTTTTAAAAACTGCACCAAGCAGGTTAGATTTTTTAAATCGTCTATGTTTATTTCTTCAGCATGAATTTAGAAGGATGATAAACACAGCTACTTATTTAATTCATTATAAGTATTGGTTTTCTCCCACAATGCAACAATCCTGTGTCAAAATAGAAGAATAAAACGCATTTTCTTGACTTTATAAAACAGCCCTATCTTTAAATTTAAACACTAAAGATTTCTTTTTAGACATGTCCCTTAGGAGTATCATGAAAAGTCTTGAAAGTTTCCAATTGTTTACTTTTCTTGTGTAGAAATAAAAATATTGGCCCAGAAGTAACTAATTTTACATGAAAAGCAGAGTCAGGGGATTTTTATGGGTCATATAAGAATGGTCAATATTGGATGTCGAAATATAATGTAATATTTATTCATTTCATCTAAAGATGCCCAAATCTAGAACAGTACAATAATTTTTTTGTCCTGCATTTAAACAATCTTTAGCATGGACCATTCTCACTTCTCATCTCTGCCTCCTGGCTTTTTGGCTTCCTTCAAGTCCCACCTTCGACAGGAAGTCTTTCCTAATCCCCTTAAGTTTAGTGTTTTCCTTCTGTCGATTATTTCCTATTTATCCTATATATAGCTTCTCTATAAATAGTTATTTGCATGTAGTGTCCCCCTTCAGATTGAAAACTCTTGAGGACAGAGACGGTCTTTTTGCCTTTCTTTGTATCCCTAGTGCTTAGCACCATGTCTGGCACATAATAGGTACTTAATGTTTATTAACTGATTTTTCATAAATGTTATTTATTAGAGCTTGTAAAACTGAACTACTATATACATATTTTGTTGGATTTGGAGCCCTTTGCTTTCATATATGGATGATTAATTAGCAATATATCTTGCATATTCTCATTAGAGAAAAAAAATCCTGAAATGACCCCTTAATATTCAGCTATCTAACTACAAGATCTTCACAGAGAACACTTTCCAGTATCTTGGCAAGATGAACATATGCAACATATAAGGAGCCAAGAGTATGTCACACTTAACTCCCCTCTGCCTCAATTTCTTCTAAAAAGCCATTCTTAATAAAAGCTAAGTTAAAATTGCATAAAAATATTAATACATTACTGTATATTATGAAAGATATAGCTTGTCCCAAACCACTGCCTTTCCTTAGACTAAAAACAATATGTCAGTTGAATCTTTCCGTTTTTAGATATTTAACGATTGATTTAAAAAGTATTAAACCCCTGGTACTTTATTATTATTATTATTATTATTTTTAACACAAATCCCATATTAGTCATACATTTGTGCATTATGAACCAATTGCTTACTATATAATTGCTTACTAAGTAATTCCAGAAAATAGTAGGAAGCTAAGATTCAAAGGTATTTAAAGTTTAAAATCATTAGATGTATTCATAATGTCTCTTAAAAGTATCTTCCTGTCCCTATGAATCATGCTTTGATTCATTCACCTTTTCTTTTCAAACGTTAGCACTTGAAGATAGTAAGATTAAAAAGGAAGGTCTTGCTACTTTTTCCTATCAAAAGGAAAGGGATTTTGATGCCAATTCTTTCATTCTTTTTTTTTTCCATTTTTTTTTGTTGTTGTTTTTGGTTGGGCAATGGGGTTAAGTGACCTGCCCAGGGTCACACAACTAGTAAGTGTTAATATGTCTGAGGCTGGATTTGAACTCAGGTCCTCCTGAAACCAGGGCCACTGCTCTATCCACTGTGCCACCTAGCTGCCCCCTCTTTCACTCTTTTGAGAATGAACATTGGCAAAGATATTGAGCATTTGCATCAATACTTGAAATAAGCAAGGTGCTTTAAGTAACTTCTTTGATTTAAAACTATAACTTTCCCCCTCTAGCTATGTGTCACCATGTATAGAGAACTGGGCTGGGAGTCATGAAGACCTGAGCTCAAATCCTGCATCAAACCCTTCTAAGTGTGACCACTGGCAAGTTACTTAACTTCTGTCTGCCTCAGTTTCCTCATCTGTAAAATTAAGATAATAATAACACCTCCCAGGGTTGTTGCAAGGATAAGATTGAAGTAATATTTGTAAAGTGCTCTGTAAATCTTAAAGTACTATATAAACACTAGCTATTAGTTACTATTATTCACACTATGCTGCTCTTGATTGTAAAGCCCAATAAAATACATTACATGTCTATCAGTCCATCATTTCCCCCAAATTTTTAACATTTTTATTTAAAATTTTGAGTTCCAAATTCTATCCCTTCCTCTCACCTTCTTCTCTCCCCCCTGAGATGGTAAGCAATCAGACATAGGTTATACATAAGCAATTGTGTAAAACATTTCCATATTAGTCATTTTGTACAAGAAGACCAAGTAAAAAGAAAAAGTGAAAGAAAGTGAAAAATTGCAAGCTTCAGTCTATATTCACTCAATATCAGTTCTTTCTCTGAAGGCATACAGTATGCTTCACCATTAGTCTTTTAGGATTGTTTTGGATTATTGCATTGAGGAGAATAGCTAAGTCATTCACAGTACTTCATCAAACAAAACTGCTGTTAATGTGGACAATGTTCTCCTGGTTCTGTTCACTTCACTATGCATCTGTTCATGTAAGTCTTTTCAGGTTTTTCTGAAATCATCCTGCTTGTCATTTCTTTTGGCAAAATACTATTCCATTAAATTCATATATCACAGCTTGTTAAGCCATTCTCCAATTGATGGGTATTTTTTTGATCTCCAATTCTTAGCTACCACAAAAAGAGCTGCTATAAATATTTTTGTATAAATAGATCCTTTTTCCTTTTTTGGATGTCTTTGGGATATAGAAGTAGCAGGAGCATTGCTGGATGAAAGGGTATGCACAGTTTTATAGCCCTTTGGGCATAGTTCCAAATTGCTGTCCAGAATGGTTGGATCAGTTCACGATTCCACCAACAATGCATTAGTGTACCAGTTTTCCCATATCCCCTCCAACATCTAACATTTTCCTTTCTTGTCATATTAGCCACTCTGATCGGTGTGAGGTGGCACCTCAGACTTGTTTTAATTTGCATTTATCTGATCAATAGTGATTTTGCGCATTTTTTTCATATGACTATACATAGCTTTGATTTCTTTGTCTGAAAACTGCTTGTTTATATCCTTTGACCATTTATCAATTGGGGAATGACTTGCATTTTTATAAGTTTGACTCAATTCTCTATATATTTGAGAAATGTGGCCTTTATTAGAGATATTTGTTGCAAAATTCCCTCCCCACCAGTTTTCTGCTTTTCTTATAATTTTGGTTATATTGGTTTTGTTTGTGCAAAACCATTTCAATTTTACATAATCAAAATTATCTATTTTATATTTTGTAATGCTTATATCTTCTTTGTTCCTAAATTCTTCCCTTATCTATAAATCTGACAGAGAAACTATTTCATGTTCTCTTAATTTGCTTATGGTATCACCTTTTATGTGTAAATCATGTACCCATTTTGATCTTATCTTGGTACATGGTGGGAGATATTGGTCTATGGCTTGCTTCTGCCATACTGTTTTCCAGTTTTTCCAATAGTTTTTGTCAAATAGTGAGTTTTTGTTCCAAAAGTTTGGGTCTTTGGGTTTATTGTATACAAGATTACTATGGTAATTACTATAATGTAATTTATACTTAATCTATTCCACTGATCCACTCCCCTTTTCCTTAGCCAGCACCAAATTGTTTTGATAATTACCACTTTATAATATAGTTTGAGATCTGGTACAGCTATACCACCTTCCTTCACATTTTTTAATTGATTCCCTTGATATCTTTGAGCTTTTGTTTTTTCCAGATGAATTTTGTTATTATTTTTTCTAGCTCTATAAATTATTTTTATATTTTATATTGATTGATTGATACAGCACTGAATAAATAGATTGATTTAGGTAGAATAGTCATTTTTATTATGTTGACTTGGCTTACCTATAAGCAATTAATATTTTTACAATTGTTTAGATTTGACTTTATTTGTATGAAAAATGTTTTATATTTGTGTTCATATAATTCCCGGGTTCATTTTGGCAGGTCAACTCCCAAGTGTTTTATATTGTCTACAGTTATTTTAAATGAAATTTCTCTATCTTTTGCTATCTGACTTTGTTGGTAATATATAGAAATGTTGATGATTTATGTGGGGTTTTTTTTGTATCCTACAACTTTGCTAAAGTTGTTAATAATTTCAAGTAGGTTTTCAGTTGAATCTCTAGGATTTTCTAAATGTACCATCATATTATCTGCAAAGACTGATAGTTTTGTTTCCTCATTACCTATTCTAATTCTTTTAATTCATTTTTTCTTCTCATTGCTATAGCTAACATTTCTAGTACAATATTAAATAAGAGGTGATAACATGCATCCTTGCTTCACTACTGATTAAATTGAGAAGCCTTCTAGCTT